AGATGTGGGCAAGAAGGGTCTGGCGCTATGTAAAAAGTTAATTTTTCTGTCATCTTTTCTATCGGATAAAAAATATTTTTTGAAAAAATTAGATTAGATTTTTTTTAAAGTTATTTTTCAAAATATTTAATATTTTTATTTTAATGAAACACATGCAAGATTGCAAGTTCTTTTCATACAATGCTCTCGCTACTGTCATCAAGAATGAGTTCAATAATGCTTCAAACGTCAATGTTATCTTTAACAAGAAGTTTGTGAAAGAATCTAAGTTTGGTCAGTATGTCAGACCAAGCTATTGTCATTGACCAAACGTTATACTTCACAAGAGTTAGCAGTAGTTTTGAAACAAAAGGGTTTCTTCGTGAATGTCAAAGATACTCATTATACTATTATAAAGAACTCCAACATTGACTTCTTCAGTATTGCTATGAATCTTTCCGAACAGAAAGAATATAAGAAGGGTGAAACAAATGTGAAATATTATTCTTCATCTCTGAAAACAATAACGAACAAAGATTTATACAAAAGTTCTTACCAAAGGTTGAAGAAGCTTCTATTGACATTGACGAAGGAAGTGAAATGGTTGAAGAAATTGACCCTGACGTCATTTAAGCAAAAATATATTTTTGGTTAGTCTTCATATCGATATTTTACAACAATTCCCCAATGTATAAACTTTTCATACGCTTTTTCATAAGCTTTATATACCTTCAGAAATTTTGCATAATCTTTAGAAGCATTTAGATATTGTTTAAATGCTTTGTATGTCTTCAGAAATTTTGCATAATCTTTTACATGTTGTTCGTTCTCTTTTCTTCTGTCATGAGTTCCGAATATTCTAAATTCATGTTCTTTCATATGAGATAAAATTTTATAAAAAAAATAAAATTAGCTTAGATTTTTTATTCTTCCTCTTTGAAGTTATCGAAATATTCTGTTTTTTTTCCTTCAGTAATGTTAATTCTCTTGAATGTAAGTATTGTGCAACCTTTGATGTCATAGTGTGTTTGAGGAAGAGTATTTTGACAATTTCCTTATTTGCTCATTCGGTGTCATTGAAATCGGTAAGTTTTCACGATAGAACCAGTTTCTGTCAGATTTGTAAATCTTAGCAAGGTCATAAAAGCTTTTGTTGTTTCTTCTGACTAAATGCAACATAACCATATCTTTATCTTCTTCTTTCTCCAACTCTTCAGTATATATCATATACTTATAACTCTTTTCCTTTCCTTTTGGTACCGAACGTGGTATTCTTTTCTGTATGCTTTTGTCTTTGGATTCAATGACTTCATCTTTTGCTTGAAGTTTCTTTTCCATCTCTCCACGTTCTTGTCTATGAATTTCGTCAAGAAGTCTGTAAACATGCCATGCATAACGAGGAGAAGCCCACATTGCAACTGCATTTACTAAAAGTCTATGAACATAATAACCTCTTAAATTTATTGGCAAATTTTTACGATTTTCATGTGTTTTATGCAAGACCGAAAAAAGTCGGTCTAGAGAAATTTCACTCAAAAGTTCTTGTGTGCTTTGGTTTTTGAACCAGTCGTCTGCGTGTTTAGTGTCTGGAGCAAAACATGCTGTCAAAATACTTTGCATTTGGTACATATCGTCTTTGACCGAACGAATGAGACGGAGTTGTTTGTTAAACTGAACCCACTCGTATTCTTCATTTATGGCTTCATGAACGATAGCAGTTGTTGTGTTCTCTGTTGTTGACATATCTGTCCTTACATACAAAAAAAAAAAATAAAAAAAAAAAAACTAACTTTATTTTTCTGTGTTAAAGAAATGTTAAAAATTCAGGGTTACATATGTGAAAAGAAGTCACGAACAAATGAAGGTCATAAGATTCAGCACATAATTCTGAATTGAATGGTGTGTCATACATGTCAAGCCGTCAAGAATTGAAGGAGATACGAGGCTATAAAGATTTTGGATATTTTCTGACACACACCCTGAGGGAAAAGTGACAAAACACGACGATAGAAAAAAGTGACAAAATTGAGAGAAAGTTGTTTCCCGACCAAAATGCAATCATGTTGAAAAAGTGACATTTGTAAAGTTAGACGATAGGATTTCCTGAAAAAGTGCAAGACTTGTTCTGAATCAGGACAAGATTTGTCTTGAAAAAATACAAGACTTGTTCTGAAAAAATACAAGACTTGTTCTGAATCAGGACAAGATTTGTCTTGAAAAAATACAAGACTTGTTCTGAAAAAATACAAGACTTGTTCTGAAAAAATACAAGACTTGTCTTGAATCAGGACAATTGTTCTCAAATTTGAGAACTTTACAAGAAAAACTGACTAAAAAGTGCAAGACTTGTTCTGAATCAGGACAAGATTTGTCTTGAAAAAATACAAGACTTGTTCTGAAAAAATACAAGACTTGTTCTGAAAAAATACAAGACTTGTCTTGAATCAGGACAAAACTTTACAAAATGTAAACTTTACATAACCGTTTCTATCGTACATGATATTTAGTTGACATTGTAAACTATCTTCATGTAAAGTATGGCGGTTTGAAACCGTCGGGAACCTTCACTTTTTTGACGAACTTTCCGCAGCAATTTTTAAAATTTGTGAAAACTCAACGGTTTGACACGTGCCATATGTCATTTTACTCAGAATTTTGTGCTGAATTCAGCAAAAATAATGTTTATGTTAGCATGTTAGATCTAACACGTTTTCTAACCTCTTTTCTAACATAACTATTTACAAGCGTTTTACATGGTATATGTTGCGATGGTTCATGACTTTAAACAGTTTTGTAGCTTCTATTTCTTCTTTTAGTACATCGAATGTTTTAACAATGCCGAAGGTTTCTTTATATTTCTTCTTGACGTCAGATAGAAGGAAATCGTCAGCAGTTGGATAATTTTTGTTCAGAAATGCTAACATGTCCATTTTATCTTCTGCTGGCTTTTCTACTTCTTTCTTTAAATCTGCATAGTCGTTTCTCATTCTTTCTATCTCTTTGACGGAGTAGTTATATTTCCTCATCGCTGCCTTACATTTTGAACATTGCGGGTTCATTTTTGCGTTATACATTGAAATTTGACCTGCTAAAACAACTAAGGCGTCAATTGCTCTCTTCATCTCAAACATAGCGGGTCTTAGTTGTTCGTTCCATACTTTGCCTCTTCTATCTTTATCTCTTATTTCCCAAACACATTCAGCAACTAATGAAACAAAGTTATCGTAGGTCTTAAATTCTTCAGATTTATATATGTCAGAAACATTCTTATAAACCATGTCGCAATCTTTGTCCATAACTTTATGGTTGCAATGAAAACCAAGGAATTCATAATTTACTTTACGTATGAACTTCTTTATTTCTACTGAGTCAGTTGTTTTGACTTCAATTTCGTCGAATTCAGGAATAGTTAGTTTTTGTTGTTGGATTTCAGGCAATTTGGGTAAATGGTCAATAATGTCCTGCATTTCATAAAGATACTGTTCATTTGTTTCATCTTTCGCACTACAGTCTAAATTACTTGTTAAAAGTTCTTGCTTTATCTTCTGGATTTTTGTTTCGAAAGTATATGAAGAAGGAATGAAGCTTTTCATCTCTACTAACATAGATGTTGGATTCATGACTAACGAGTTTGGTGCTGTAGTTTGAATTGTTGTTGTGCCGATTGTTGAAATCATATCTTTACATACAAGATAAAAATTTTTCTTAGAAAAAAATTAGCGTTATTTTTCTTTCATAAGGAAATGTCAAAAATTCATGATTTTCGAGAGTTTTAGACCATGTTAGAAAAGTGGTTAGAAAACGTGTTAGATCTAACATTCTAACATAAACATTATTTTTTGGTGTAAATAAATGGTACCATTAATGATATCATGACTGTTCTCATTCATGTCTGATTTACATCTAATGAAAAAGTTTAGAAGAATTTTCTTATTCTTTCTGGCATATTTTTGTCTTTCCAGTACTCCCGCTCTAATGGTCCCAGATGTGTTGGCTTTGACTCTCTCAAGTTCTTAGATGGTATAACATCTTCAACACCTCCTTCATATCTTACTTTATAAGTGTCATCGTTTATGTTGTAGCCAAGTATTTCAATAACCACTCCTCGCTTTGCTTCGTCAATGGTTTCAGCAAGTTTGCCATTACTACTTTCAACTAACTTATGTCGAGGGTAAAATGCTATGGAGTCGTCAGCAGCTTTTATAAGATATCCATTACCTTGTGTAGAGTCTACGATATAATAGTTTCTACTTAACCTTAAACGTTTCTTTGTCAACGGTTTGTCGTCAAGAACTACACGAACTTTTGTACCAGGAATGAGGGTAAATTGTGTTGAATTTCTGATATTTTGTGTTTGGCTTCGTTTCTTTTGTATATACTTTTCTTCTTGTTGTTGTGTCATTGAATTTGGTGTATGTCCTGTTGTAGAATGTGTTGAGGAATTATATACTTCGAGAAAATGTTTCATTGTTTCTTCGGTAAAGTCTCGCTCTTGATTTAAATCTCTGAGCGTTCTTATGAAGCGGTTTATGATGCCGAGTATGTTATGGTTATGGTCTTCAGTAGTGTAGTGAGTTATGTTATGCTTAATGAGAAATTCTGTGATTTCATTGCTGAGGTATGCACTGTCTTGGTCTGATGTTAAAGTACTTGGGTTATGTTCTGCTACAAACTTTTGTAAAACTCTTAACACTTCACGAGTTCCTTTATTTTTCATTGGATATGCATATGCTTTACGAGTGTTAACATTTATGAAGATGAGGAATGGTTTATGTCCTCCTTTTCTGCTTTGAATGAGAGTGTCAAATTGGTATGCGTCAGGAGTGTTGGAGTAAATTGGTAAAAAGTAGTCGTAAGGGTTTATTTTTGTTTGATGTACAACATTTTTGTCAAAGAACCTTTTCACTTCAGCTCTGTTAGTAAATCCCCAACTCTTTGCAGCTTCATTGAATTTCTTAAATGACCTCCATGGATGTTGTTCGAATACTTCTTTCAAGCTCATTTATGTAAAGTTAAAGATTTTAACCAACTCGTATCCAAGCGTGCATTGTTATATAAGGAGGCATATAATCTTTTCCATTACCTGCTGGGTCTGTAATACCAGCTACAACATGTGTATGATTTCCTGCAGTTCCACAGAAAATACCTGTGCTAACATCTTTGGGGTCAGTTGTGATATCATATCTATGCATTCCCTGTCTATCCGAACCCGCTGCAAGATTTGTATAACCTCTTTTTGTTATTGAATGTGAATGGTTTCCTTCCACAGATGTTCTTCCACTGAACCTATGCATATGTGAAGGAAGGTTTTCAATACCTATTTTCTTTGAACCTCCCATCTTCATTGACTGAGTATTAGTGTAGAATGGAAAACTGTCAACTATTTCATACCATCTACCACCAAATAAAGTGTTTGGATTTATTGGATTCATAGACGTATAAACAGCTCCTATAGGATATATTAAATCATATATGCTCATAACTCTATAAACATATTCTAAAGAACTTATGTCATTAAATACCATTTGGAATGTATCTCCCGGATGAAATGTTGCATTTGTTCCACTTTTATAATGTAATGTTAGTTCAATAGAATTATCCAAGAAAAATTCAAAAGTATCTGGTTGAAGACCTCTAACAAATTCAAATGGAGTTGCTGGTTCACCATTTATAATTTCTGTTGTAAATGTCATTGTATCTGGTTTCGAAAATTTCTTTGATAGTTCTTCATCTACATAAGTTTTGTCTGCTTTCTTATCTAACATTGGGTAGTTCATATGCTTCAAAGTTTCTGGCATGACTTTCAATGTTCCTGCAACTCTTATCTAAACTGTTAAGAGTATCTTTTACGCTTGTACTTGGATTTTCTAATGGTGCACTTGAACCAAGGTCAAAGTTCAATATTATGTCGTCTGCTCTAACAGTAGTGAAGGATTTATGTGTATGGTTCTTGTCAGCTTTACTGTCTAATGTAGCTTGAAGTTCATTTATATCGGAGATGTTGTGTTTATGAGATTTCAAAACTTTGTTCGTTGCTTCGAGTTCAACTTTGTCAGCTTTACTTTTAATAGCATCTTCAAACGTTATTTTTGCCTTAACTCTTAACATAAATCTTGGTTCAACTAATACACCGTTAACATTGAAAGTAGAGGCATAAATTTCACCGGTATAACCAAATGCTTCTGGTGCTTTAGCTACATCATACTGTACAGTACAGCTTATGTCATAACCTTTAGCACGAATGTATTTATATCTTCTTTCATTAACATTTTTTGTCTTCGCTTCATCACTTCGTGTTAAATATCCATGGTAGTCCGTTATAATCTGTTCGTCTGAAGTTATATAATGAACATGGTTCTTGTCCGCTTTACTATTTAATGTAGCTTGAAGTTCATTTATATCGGAGATGTTGTGTTTATGAGATTTCAAAACTTTGTTCATTGCGTCAAGTTCATTTTTGTCCGCTTTACTATTTAATGTAGCTTGAAGTTCATTTATATCGGAGATATTGTGTTTATGTTCTTTATCTGCTTTTTCGGCTAATTTCTCTTCTATCTCATTTATTTCAAGTTCATGCCTACCACCACCTCCCGAAGAAGTATTTTTCTTCAGCTCTTGAAGAACGTCCACTTCGCCATCTTTGGTGTCAATAATGAGACTTTGAGTTAAAACCTTTCCTGTCTTAATGGATGTTTGTAAAACTTCTTCTTCACCATGTTCGGGGTCATGGTCGTCATCATATCTTGTGAAATCAGAGATGTTGTCATACATTAAGCATATCTGTCTCAAAAGTTCTGCTATTTGAAACTGGAACGAAAGATATACAGAACTTTCATCATCTCCTAAAGTCAAGTCTGCTTTCTTAAGTATTTCTTGAATGTATGCAATGAGAACAGAGTACCTTGGAAAATATTCGAACAATATTTCATTAGCTGTTGGTTTTGGTGGTTCTTTTGGAGTTTCTGTTGTTTCAGTTCCTTCTGTAGGTTCTGTTGGAGTTTCTGCATCTCTTGACTTCAATGCTCTTGCTCTCAAAGACCTAAATGTTAGAGCACCGGGTTTTACAAAGGACTTTATAAATGCTTTAATAGTTCCTGGTAAGTTATTGTTAGCATTAAGTAAGTTCCTTATGCTTCCATCATGTACGTCCATAGCACTATGTAAAAAATCTATACTTTTCTTGTAGTCAGCAATAGACTGACTGTGATTTTTTAAAGATTTGTCAATACCTTTAAGCCAATCTTCATGCATGTCTGATACTGAGCCAAGAATATCATTTGCTTCCTTTAGTGTATTTTGTGCTTGTCGTAAAGTATCCAATCCCGTACGTGCATTGTTTGCTATACGTCTTACAGTATCTATTTGACTCCTTGTTTCTTGCATCCAACCAGATAAAGTTTTAATAGTATCCGAACCATTTGAAATGAAGTTCAAAGCATTTTTAACGTCATTTAAAACTTCTTCACCAAGTACCGCCCATATCTTTCCGATTTGGTATTGAAGAACTCCATATGAAGCAGCTGTTAAACCAGTATTTATAAGGTCCCATATCCATGATTTAGCAGTTTTTCCATCCTTTCCATCCTTTCCATCCAAACCGTTTTCGCCTTGAGGTCCTTGTATTCCTTGTATTCCTTGTGGTCCTTGAGGTCCGGTGTCACCCTTCTCTCCTTTCAGTTCATCTTTATGTTCGTTATAATATTCTAATGTCATAAGGTGTACATCATTACTGCTACCAGCAACGCCGAGAATTTGTTTCTCATTCATGACTAAATTCTTTAGGCATTTAATGTTGTCGTCAAATCGAAAGCTCTTTAACAATTCAATGAGAACATTTAATACTTTCACTAATGAGGCATCTACTGTAGAATTTATATATTGCACCGTTCCATCATTTATGATGGGAACCTTGCTTGTTGTAATGAATGGGTCATAAGTGTTAAAAGTATCGAAATCAATGACTTTTTTAGTTTTTCCATCGTCAATGACTAAATCATTGCCTTCAATGGTTAAAGTTGAGTTTTCGTTTACTAGTTCATGTGCTCTTCTTGCTTCATTTGTTTCATACGCATATGCAGCAATAGTCATATTTTAATGAGAATAAAATGTTGTTCTATTTGCAAAGTACAGACCCAAACGAATACGGGACAGTAAAGCTACAAACAAACTTAGGTCTTCAGAATGAAGCGCTTGCTTTCAGAGTTGTTGACTTCAATACTATCGCAACTTTTGTCATAACAGATGAAACAGATTTCATAGAGATTGAAATAGATGACAAAAGAAGTTTTATAACATTTCCTAACAGAGCAGAGTATAGAATAGATAAAATTGCTGGAGTCATAGATACTCTCATAAATGAAGAAACTATTGACAACATAGATGTCGAACTCTCTTCTGAGGGAACATTGAAGTTCAGTAGCAAGAAAGAGTTTAAGATACACGAATGAGTCATAGAGTACAACTTCTTCTGGAGCATACCATATGACATTTCCTTTGAAAAGTGTTGACAAAACGATTGAGATGAAATCTGTTCCATACGTATGTTATGGTAATTGTTTGTACGTTGAGTCAAAAATAGCTAATGTCACAGGCATTTCAGGAGTTAATAGTAAAGGTTCAGTAGAATATAAATCCTTCTGTTATGCAGTCAATTCAATGTTCATTCCAAACGTTCCTGTCATAGCAACTCATTTAGGTAAATGGTTCGCATTAGTCTCATAATTTGAAAGACATGCAATTCAGACTTGTTGACTTTCAAGGAGAGCCTGTAGAACTGAAGCACCAGTGCGAATGACTGTTGAAGTTGACTTTTTAGAAAATATTAAATGCAACAGCTTACAAGAGAACTCAGAGCTAAAAATATAAAGTATGAATGTTATGTATTAGGTCATGAACTTTGGTTGTTGCTGTTTGATGAAACAAATGAATTAGTTATGTCAGTCAAGAGAACAGAAAAAGGCGTCAAAGGCGCCGAGCGCAAAGCGCTATATTGTGTTAGTGAAAACTGCACCAAGTCAATAAGATTAGGTTTGCATTATGAAGATGAGTTCGATACTGTTGAAGAAGTTTTGGACAGATATTACAAATTGCTAACTTGAATTTTTTTGACTGACGGCGCAAAAGCGCCAAGATGGGCTCAAAAGAGCCCTCCTGACTGCTTTAATTTACTAAAACATATTTCAAGCAAAGCTTATAGTAAGTAGATAGTTTTGTATACTCGTTCGAATATTTATACTTAAACTCAACTCCTGTAGTTCCTGGTGTTCAATGATGCGGATGTTACCTATTTTCATGAATAGTGGAGTTTGACCACAGCATTCGATTTCAGGGTCGAGATAGTCAATGACACATTGTTTCCCTGTTATTCGTGAGATAACATTTTCAAGGTCCTCCTTTGTTAGAATTATTTGGTTCTTGCTTATAAGATTTGTCAAAAGCTTCTTATCGTCTTTGAGTAAAATTGTTTGGTATAACTGAAGAAGGTAATGGTCTACGTTATCTGAAGGATTTGTTTGAACATTTGTGTAAGGGTTGTCGTTGGCTTCTCTTGAAAGAATTTGGTCCAGTGGTGGATACTCTAACTTAACATCTGATGTAGCGTTAGCGTTTGAAGCTGAGTTTAAATTCACGGCGCCATGCGCCAAGATGGGCTCTTTGAGCCCTCCCGACTTAAGTTCTGGTTCTTTTTCTTTCAAACACTCTGAACTATAGTTCTTTATGACAATATTGTTTGTCGTTCGTGAGTCAACATTTGATGTTGGTTCAATTGGAACATTAACGGCACCAGCTAAGATGGATTTGCTTCTCATTTCATATAGAATAAAAACCTTTTATATGTATGAAATGAACAATATACTCGACAAGGGTTTGAATGTAAAGCTAACGAATGAAAATATTGTTGAATTCACTGAGACAGGAGCTGTGTATAAAGATGTAGAACTACTGAACAAAAGAGCTAAGGGAAGAAGCAGGAACATGAACAAAGGGTGGAAGCCTATAAAAATTTATGTCAATGATGGCTCAGGAGGTTCAAACATAAAGTATGCAGAAAGTTATAGAGTTTATGCTCTCAAAGGTGAAAAGCCTTCATTTAAGAACAGCTATTCTAACACATATCCTCAAAAGCTAACGGATGGGGAAGTGGATGATATGAATGACAGCAAAAATATTAACAGAAAATGGCGACAGAGATGCATGGAATTTGTTTACCATCAGTCAATTGAAGGTTAAACTTTAAAACAATGTTGGTCGTTCCCATGGAATATTTTTGACTTTAATGGTATTAGTCATGATATGAATCTCAAGGTATGAACGAGGAGAGATGAGAGACTTATATGCTTCCCAAATTTCTTCAAAAGGTAATGTTATACCTGACTGTTTCCAAATGAGTTCAATATCATAGCGTGAGAAACCTTGAAAGATAACGAAGTCAGTTATGAGACGTTTTATGTTTAAAGCAAGGAAACGCCATGTTTGCATAAGTATTGCTACAGTTAAGTGGTAATGTCTGACTTTAGTTATGATGTTAGCTAATGGTGAGTCTGCTTTTGACACTAAACCTTTTCCGGCGAAGTCGTCACAAACGAGCAGAGTGTTTGAAGGATACTTTTTGAAGGGGTATTTTGAAAGTTTTGACAGAATGTAGTTTGTCAGTCGTTTCATATCGTAAACTCCTGAGTATTGACGTAAGTGGTGTTTGTCAATAATTCTTTCCATCTCTTCTGAAGTCTTTTGCATTCCTGACTGTATGAACTCTACAATAGCATAATATTTCCTCTTACGTCGAATGTAACGTTGAAGAAATTCAATGAGTTCACTGTCTGGAACTTTAACGACAGAGGCTTGAACTTTTGACATAAATGTTTTCGCTGTTGAATCCATAGAGTCTGAAGTTGCTGATATAATGATTTGGTCATAGTAAGAGTCGTTTCCTAAACGCTCTGTTATGAGTATATGACGAATGAGGTTGAATGTCTTACCTGAACCCATCTTTCCACAATAGAAATACACACCATTTGAACAGAACTCATAGTCCTTACTGAAAGGAAGAATAAGAGAAGAGTTAAGTTTGTCTGTAGTTTCATTCATGTCTTCATCTACGTCATGTATTAAATGCTTCATTTTATCTCCATTAAAAATGCAAGTCAGAAATATTCAGAACATAGCACCGAGTCTAACTGACAAGAGTATAAAGATATACTATGAACACGTTATGATGAAGCCTACCAAAATTCAAGAAAGTCAGTATACTTATGAATATCCAAGACACTGGGTAGAGTATGTAGGAGGTGAGAAAGCTATTGAAATAAGACAAGTTAGAAGTATTCCAGCAGGAAGAACAATATTATTGAAGAACTTTAATGTTTTGAGGTATAATGATGAAACAAAGAAGCAAGATAGTTTTCCTATTGCTGTGTATGTGAACCTAGACACAGGAGATGACATGAAAGTTTTTAACACAAAGCTTCAAACGGTAGTGAGAGAACAACTGACTGCGGAAGGACATCCATTACCTTCAGAAGTTACCATAGTATATAATTTTGAAACAAATGCAATAGATTTTAAAGTCGTCTCTGCAAAGAAGTCAGGTTTTACATTTAATGAAGCAGATGTATATTCGAATGAAAACTTCAAAGCTATTGCATGGTTAGATAATGACGATTGCTTTAAGAAAATATTTAAATTCAGTGACTCAAAGATGTCAATAGATGACCTTCGTGAATGTTACCATCGACGTTTACAGTAGAAGGTTCAGCAGGATTGCTTACAAGATTGTCAATTGGTGGTATTTGGTCTCGTGAGAACATTGTTATAAAATCCAGTATAAGTGAATTTGCTGAAGAATCTATATTATGTCTTTCAAACTACATGTATTCGCCGCCGAAGCATTATAGTATAACAAACTTTGTCAGTAAGTTTAACATAAGACTTGTCGAACCTTCTTCAATGAAAGATGTTGTGCTACCTAAAGATGGAAAGGATGGACTCATTATTGAGATGATTTTAATAGCATATTAAATGAGCTTGTTCTTGAAGGTCATTCATGATGAAATAACTGTTGTAGAAGATGTTAGCAATTGTTCAGACATTTTGAAGCGTATAGATGAGATAAGAAAGAAGTTTATGAATGAGAATGTTTATGTTTCATTGACTTTCTCCAGTAACGAGAACTTTTATGAGATAATATTGAAGAGAGATGATTTTAATATGGTGTAAATGGTAGCTTGGACAGCTTTAGGCGCAATGGGAACAAAAGCATTAGCATTTGGAGCAAAAGCACTTGGGGCTTATGACGCAGTAAATAAAATGAGTGGAGGAAGGGTTTCGAAGACATTAGATGCAAATAAAGGGAAGATTGGAGGCTGGGTTGCAAAGAAGTTAAGATTAAATAAAATAGGGCTCATAAATAAAGCATCCAATTTGGTTGCGACTGAGTCAGAAAATGCTTTAGGAAAGGACGATGGTTTGCAAAACACGCAAAAGACTTTAATGACCAGATGAAAGGTGAAACAATGCATTTAAATAGATTCGATGGAACTAAAGAAAATGTTTCTTCTCCACCAGTAGTTCTTCCGTATGGTCCCTATGGAATGTATGGAAATCCTTACGAAAGACCATTTGACCCATTGACTGGTGGAAGTAACTGGTATCATTACGGACGAAGAAGAAAGACAGTCAAGTTGGAGACAGACGTGAAGAAAGCAACTAAAAAGAAACCAAGGAAGAGAGTTATAAAGCAATGAATTCAACAGGGTTAGAAATGAGGTTAGAAATGAGGTTAGATCTAACCTTCTACCCTAAATTTATTTTTGTGCTATGTTTTCATACGTGTGAGGGTGGTGATATCATTAATTTTTAAGTTTATTTTTAAGTTTATTTTTATTTTATTTGGATGTAATGACAGAACAAAAGCAACTCATACAAATCAAAACATATAACAAACATACATTTAAACATTTATTCTTCCTTCCTGAGCATAACATGTTCTTTCAAATACATCCGAGACCAGTTGACTTTTCATTGACTGTTTATAAAGATAGAAATAGTTATATCATTAAACCATACGATGACGAAGGTAAGTTATGTAAATTGTACGTTAAGAAGTTAGAGAAAGTTTATGGCTTCAAGTATGACTACAATAGGGTTAACACTGATGATGAAGATATTGAGGAAAATTTATGAGAACATTAGTGAAGTCGTTAGTGAGAACGATAGTGAGAACGTTTATTTTTTACATTAGTGAGTTCGTTAGTGAAGTGGTTGGCGGCTTTGTAAATATTTAAGGTTAAATTAGTTTTTGCGTTCATGTTGTAAAATATACGTTAACGGTTTTGTAAAGTGTCAAATTCACAAGTATTGGGTAAGGTGGAACGCAGTGCCACAGTACCCAAGACTTGTATACTAACTAAAGATGTTATCGTTAAAACCGCTTCAGGAGGTCTTCACATTTATTGCAACACTAATTTCTTCTATGCAGTTTCGAACAGAATGATTAAATGTTATTCCTGCAATGATTATGATATTGATATCATGACGTCAATGGATGATTCAAAGCGTTCATTAGTGGTTATGGCTGATTCAAGAGTTCGCAAGAATGCAACAGAACCAATCAATACATACTCATTCATTCGTGGAAGTTATGATTCAACATTAACTAGAACAGTGAATGATATATTAAATGATTTGAATATTAAGGTAAGAGTTGAACAGAAGAATGAAGAAATAAAGACTATCATGAATGAAAACAAAGATGTAAACATTGACGATAAACTTGCCCAGAGCATAGTTGATGGCATCAGTGATTTTGAAGTACATAATGACGGTGGAAACATGAATTTAGAAAAAGAAGTTACATTATTCACACTGTTTCAAGCTATTAATTCGTTACCTAATCATTTAATTAATGAAGCATACGATAACGTTTATAACTTCTGCAGTTTAACAGAAAATGCAAAAAGTAATTTTGAAAAAGCACGTGATAGATATGCATATTTAATGACTTCTCCATTTGTTTTGGTGAAGATTCTAAAACTATATCAAAAGGAATATTATGATGAATACGTTTTACCTTTATTACGTAAGCCAAAAATAACATTCGATATCAAACTTGATGACTCGTTTTTGATAACAGATATTAGACGCAAGGCTGAAATCATCAGTATAAAAACAGTTCTGAAGTAATTGAGGATTTTCACGTGTAATCCGTTTTGTAGATTGTGGAAACAAATATTTCATTCAGAAAGATTACAACATACACGACAAAATGAATCAAATATCATTCATTCTTCAATCAAACATGAAAGAGTCACTTAAAATGATTAAATTATTTAAAGAAGAAGGTAAAACAATAACAGCATGGGATGTACTATTAAATCAATTGTCTTCATTAACAGTTAAGGGTGTTTGCTTTAAATCTGATTCCCAGATGTTTTCTCAACGTTTCAGGGTTATAAATACAACATTCTCGAAAGCTTGATTACTCAAAAATTGAGATGTTTATGAATTTCATTAAAGAAGTCATTTGTGATAATAATGAAGAAGTGATAAATACCTTCTCGCTGGATTGCATCAATGATTCAACATCCTGGAATCAAGAATGAAACAGCAATTATTTTGAAAGGACTTCAGGGAACAGGTAAAAACAGATTTACAGACATTATTTCTGAACTTCTCGCCGGTTATTCATGCAAAAACATTACCGAAATAAGTGAGCTAACGGGTAATTTCAATTCAGTAGTTGAGAATAAAATGTTTCTTGTACTTAATGAACTCAAGAATGTTGGTGAAGACAGACTCGCAAACTTCAACGCTTTGAAATCAATTATAACGGATAATGAGATAAGAATTAATGAAAAGAATCAACCCAGAAGAACAGCACAAAACGTTGCCAATTTCATTTTCGTAACTAATAACGTTTACCGTCTGTCAAAATTGAAGTTGGAGACAGAAGATATGTAGTTTTAAGAGTTAATGGTAAATTTAAGGGTCAATTTGATTATTTCAAGAATTTGATGAATTCATGCACAAAGGAATTTTATGATAATTTACTGACGTATTTTATGCAATATGACCTTTCATCATTTAATGTACGAATCATTCCGATGACTGAAGCCAAACAAGATTTAATTGAATTATCAACAAATCCTTTAGATGTATGGATAAATACACATTATGATGAATTGTGTGTAGGTATGACGTGTAAAAATGCTCTATTCTGCAAACCATCAGACATGAAAGACAAGAATTTCCAAATGAGTATTAAGGATAAATGTGATAGGAAACAAAGAAAAATAGATGGTAAACAGACATGGTATTATGTTTTGAAAGAAGAAATGAAAGGATTATATAACAAGTTGAACCAAACGATAATGATGATTCATTTACTGACGATGAAATACCTGTAAATGATGCTTTATAAAGTATGATTTGAATTTATTTTTGCCATCCTCCTATGTTGTTGTCAAAATGTCATGTTGTCACATTTTTTCAGAAAAGTTAAATTACCTGGTGACCTGGTGACCTGGTGACCCTATCAGTTCTTCAAAAATAATGAATAAATGCCATCCTCCTATGTTGTTGTCAAAATGTCATGTTGTCACATTTTTTCAGAAAAGTTAAATTACCTGGTGACCTGGTGACCTGGTGACCCTATCAGTTCTTCAAAAAAATGAATAAATGCCATCCTCCTATGTTGTTGTCAAAATGTCATGTTGTCACATTTTTTCAGAAAAGTTAAATTACCTGGTGACCTGGTGACCTGGTGACCCTATCAGTTCTTCAAAAATAATGAATAAATGCCATCCTCCTATGTTGTTGTCAAAATGTCATGTTGTCACATTTTTTCAGAAAAGTTAAATTACCTGGTGACCTGGTGACCTGGTGACCCTATCAGTTCTTCAAAAATAATGAATAAATGCCATCCTCCTATGTTGTTGTCAAAATGTCATGTTGTCACATTTTTTCAGAAAAGTTAAATTACCTGGTGACCTGGTGACCTGGTGACCCTATCAGTTCTTCAAAAATAATGAATAAATGCCATCCTCCTATGTTGTTGTCAAAATGTCATGTTGTCACATTTTTTCAGAAAA